ATTTCGATCAGACTGTAACCCTGCTGCGCCCACGGTCTCCATGCGTGAATTGCATATTCAAAGTGCGGTCTTACAAACGTGCCGAAGGCTTTGAGGAACCAGTCCTCATCGGAAACAGCCAATGCCCGCTTGATTGCGTATAGCGTTGAAGTTGTGGCCTTATTCGCATTAAAAAAGTGGGCAAAAGGCATTAGGCTGTCTGCAACCGAGACTCCGAGATCTTTATGCGTTTTTGCTTCTCGAAGAGGCTTGTAAGCTCGCAACATTCCTGATAGGTCAAGTTTTGGTGATCGAAAGTTAAAACTCTCTTGATTAAAACGTGTTGAACGGATTCTATTTTCTCTCGCCCAGCAGCACGCATGAGGCTTTCGATATAGGGTCAATTTCAAGGATAAGCGGAGCTTTGCCTATGCTTCGTTATTCCTAGGCAATTAATTAATGCCCATTTTTATTTGAGGCCTTTGTAGAAAGTATCCTTTCATTGCCGGGTATAATTTCCCCTTGTTTTGTTAGAACGTTTGGTGAGCTAACCATATTTTGCGAAGCGCCTTTTTAGTGCTTGCATGCTGGACAATCTGCATTCTAGTTTTTATAACAAATTAACAGTAGTATTTGCTTTTCTGGGCGTTTTGTTTATGTTAGCAAAGTTTTGATCCTTGTACTGCAACGGAAAACCTATAAAATGTCCCGAAGATAGCGCGTTAAAAGACGAAAGCTCGTGACTTCTCCGCCTTTTGGAGTGCTGAAATCGCGACTGGAGACGCAGCGGATGCCAGCTTGTGTTCGCTAACTTCTCCTGGTATGATTAACTGAAAAATCCCGTTCTTCTATGTTGGACATCTTCACTTCAAATCTACGCCTCTGCTAATCGTGACAGAACATCACCCGCCGAAATACTAGATCGGTTGATATATGGCGATATAAGTAGCACCTCTGAAAAAGTATTTGAACAAGCGTTTAATAAGCTCCGAAACTGACGGGAGAATAAAACGCAGGCATAGTTTCATACTGGAAAACATTCCGAATCGCATACCTGCTATAGGGGGAGCGCAGTTATTCCTGCAACGTTGTGGTTTGTGTTTCAGTGTCGCACAAGCTAAACGACGACGTAGCCAACCACCGAAAGAAACCAACAGTCTGTCTCCTTAAACTTTTTGTTCTAAATGCAAGATCCTTGATAAATAAGATTCCTCTGCTTCAGACTCTGGTGTTATTCTATTGCACCACATATTGTTTTTTTAACTGAGACATGGGCAAAACTTTCCCTAGCTGACTCCAATCTCTCTCTTTTAGGCTACATTTCCATTCGAAATAACTGTCAAGACAGCAGTGGTGTGACATTTGCATCTACGTTAAGCATGTACCTGCGTTTCTGACGCTGGGCTTCCCGCATTTTTTTGCGGTAAAAAGCAGCTGATGGCTCCAAGTTGCTTTAAAAATAAGTACTCCTTACTCGTTGGCTGTGTCTATCGCCCTCCCAACGCCAAAGATAATTTTGATCGTTTACTCTAACTAGCATTTCAGGCTGCGGCCGGATCAAGCTTTAATTATCAATTGTTTGCCGGTCACTTTAATTTTACTGAAGATCACTGGTCTCCCCCTCCGGCCCCAGAATGTCCAGAGCATTACTAAAGGCTGTGGATGTTGGGATGTGGCGTCAGGTTGTCGACTTTCCCATCCGAGGATCAAGCATACTTGACATAATGTAATGTAATTTAATTTAATTTATTAAATGCCAGTTTACAGGCATTGTCAAAGGAAACGATTAAACACAAATCCGACCAGCAGTGAAAAAAAACTCCTGAAGAATAAAAATATAGTTGATGATGGTTTTTATGGTTTGAAGGGTTCAGGAGAAAAAAACTGCTGGCGGTAGATTTTCGACTGTCAAGAAATGGACGTCATCGGACGTCAATTCCTTTCATGAAGTTGGGGATAGTCAAAGTAGAGGCGTTGAGGAACAGCTGGTGAGACCGGTCATAGTGTTCAGAGTCTACAAACGCCATCGCTACGGTAGAGTCGATCAGTGGATTCAGAACCCAAAATTTGAGGAAGCTTTTCTGAATGCAAAAATCGAGTAATAGTTCTCTTAAATAAAGGATAATTTTGCAGAGTTTTCACACTCATTGGTAGTTTATTCCGAATACCAATTGCATTTACAGAATAGAACCGACGATATTTAACAGTACGTGCCAGAGGCAGAAATAAGAAGACCTCACGGTGACTGTTACGTCGTGGGTGGATATGATGTCTTACAGAATTGAGTGGGTTAAATGTGTGATTATATAAGAGCTTAAATAGCAAAAATAGTCCCTTTTGTAATCTACGGAACCATAACGGATCGAGGCCTGTAAGCCGGCAACGTTCTTGGTGCGACAAATGCCGGTGTTCCGAGGTTAAAATTCTCTTGGTAAAAAAGTGTTGAACGGATTCTATTTTCTTCCGCTCAGTAGCACGCATGAGGCTAAATAAAAACGAACAGTATTCCAGACCAGGTCTAACGTATATGTTGTAAAGGCGCATTCTGATGTCCCTAGTTTTAAAGTTTCGGAGGATAAACCCGGTCGTTCTGCGTGCTTTGGAGACTATTAAGGCACAGTGCTCCGAGAGATTAAGATTCTTGGAGTATGATATGCCCAGATCCTTTATAACCCTGGGCACATTTATGGAGTGACCTTCAATAATTAGTTGAGGTTGGTGGTCGTCGCCAACCACCATAACTGAGCACTTATGCCAAGAAAGAGAAAGGCGCCATGTGCGGCACCACTGGGCGAAAGCCTGCAGATCGCTCTTTAGGAGCTCAAGCACGATGTCACGATTTGCCGGCCTATATCGATATGCAACTTTAAGATCATCGACATACATGAAAGGCTTACCATTCTGAAATGAATCGGATACATCATTAACGAAAAGGCAAAATAAAAGCGGGCCGAGTACACTTCCCTGAATGACTCCACTCCTCACACGTATGGGGTTGGAGATAGTATTGTAAATCCTAACTCGTTGTGTACGAGTGCCCGGGTAAGAGGGTATGAAATTCAAAAGTTTGCCACCTATTCCGAAAGTGGACAGTTTCAAGAGTAGAAGAGCGTGGTCAACACGATCAAAAGCCTTAGTGAAATCGAAATATACAGTGTAAAGTGCAAAACCATTGCCCCTAGATTGGAGAACATAGTCAAAGAAAGAGAGTTGACAGGTGTTACAAGATCGAGCTTTGGGGAATCCATGCTGATCAGCACTCAGTAAGTTATTCACTGTTAAGTGACACATCATTTTATCTTTGATCAATGTCTCTAAGATCTTCGAAACTGCGGGGTGGGTGTTTATTGGCCGAAAGTCATCAAATTATGTAGATTTGCCGTGCTTAGGAATGGGCAGAATGTGTGATTCCTTCCCCAAGGTAGGATATGATAATGTAGAGGCTGCATATCTCTATCAGTGTCATCACAAAGCCCACTGGGGGGCTCAGACGATGACAAAGTTGTTTCAAAGTTAGAACTCAAGACTGAAAAAATTATGTCCCAAAATACATATTCTCGACCGAATTATTTATGCACTTATTTTCCTACGATTGGGCTAATTTCTTCCTAAGTTCGGATGTAAATTTTTGAACTACTAGACTGTACAAGATTTCTAATCCTCTTATTTCTCGTTTTGCACGCCATAAGAAAATAATTAATACCGGGGATGCGGTTTCCCCTCCTCCCACCCTTTCGCCGTATGTTGCGCAGACTTCCTCGTTGATTCCATCTTCAGAACCATGTTTCTGTTCTGCCCTCCCTTTGTGATATCTTTGAGCGGACTAAGAGATTGCCCGAAGAAACACAGCTAGCCGAAGAACTACACTTCTTAGAAAACCGCCCCTTAAATGTCTCGAAACCTATCTCCCGAAAAGTATGGACTCACAGAAAGACGTAGCATCCCAACCTCCGAGACGCTCTGTCAACCGCTGATGGTTTAAACGCTTTCCCGTTCAAATCGTTTATTATAATCTCGACCGCTCCAATTCCGACCAACCAGGCCTGGACGGGGGACTTTCTCAAAAATATAACTTTCACTATGTGGAATGTGACTGGAGCGATTCGGTGCTTTCGTCAATCTCATAAACCTGGACCTGATGATGTCCCAGGTAGCATTCTAAATGCCGATGCAAGGGCAATTTTCCCATCCCTTTTATGAAAGATATTTAATCTCGCTCTTGAAGGTGAAACCCATCCTACTTTGTGGAAGCAATCACACATTTTGCATATTCCCAAGAACAGTGACTCTACATCATTTGACGACTTTCGGCAAATAAGCAAATTGCCAGCAGTTTCGAAGATCTTAGAGACAATGATCAAAGATAAGATAATGTGTCACTTAACTAAAAATAACCTGATAGAAGCGAACAGGCGAGTTCCAGGTAGCAGTTCAGAAAATGAAGATGCGATCACCGGAACAAGAAATTTATTTGCCTGACGTTTTGGATCCTTACTCGAATCCATCATCAGAGACATTAGCAGATAAAGGTGATTGTGGCACCAGGAGTGCAGTATTTATAGCACGTGGCTGCCGAGGGACCGCATGCGCACTGCAATTAACAGTTCTCGTAATCACCGCGAGGCGATTCTCCGTTTCGTCGTATTTCTCTCGTAGGAGTAGTTCGATGGTCTCGACTGCCAGGTCCTGCGGGATAGAAGTAAAATAGGGACGTGACATCAAAGGAAACCATGATATCGCTTGGCAGGCGACTTACTCCTTTAAGTTTCTCCAAGAATTGCGTTGACGAGCTGACTGTGGTGTTCGAATCGGAAATCAGAATCTTGAGACGTTGGAACAGCCACTTTGCCAGTCCGTAGGTTGGAGTGCCCTTTAGTGATACGATAGGCCGGAGAGGAACGCCCTCTTTGTGCACTTTTGGGAGACCGTAGGATTGGGCTAGGACCGTTTCTTGTGCTCTCGCCATGCGTCGGTCGATTGGCGATATTGCACCTGAGTTCTCCATTGCCAACAGCGTCGCGTTAATCTCGCGTGTCAGCGTTTTCATGGGGTTGGATTCGCATGGGACATAGGACTGACGATCCTCCAACAAGCTTTTGGCTTTTTGATTGTAGTCTGTCCTGTCCATTACGACCGCTGAACGCCCCCTTGTCCGCAGGCACGATAACGAGGTCGTTGTCGGCCCTGAGTTCCTTAAGTGCATCACGTTCGACCTTGGAAAGCACGTCACGCGGCCTATGAGCCATGAGGAGGGAGGAAACTTGATGTCGAATGAGGTTCTCCGTTTCGTCTGTCGCTTCCGTCTGGCTGAGGATTGGTTCCACTGCTGAGATCATGTTGGCAGGTTTGGCATCGGCTGTGTTGAATGAGGCCTCATGCCGTAAAACCTGCATTTGTTCCTCCGTCAGCTCCTTTGACGACAGGTTGTGCACCAGTTTGTCGTTCTTGGATGACATTGGAGCAGGCAGCTTACGAAATTTGTTCTCTAGGGCTGCTTCGCGAGTTGCTTTATGTTCGCGGGTTCGTTCGACCAGCCTCTGCTGAAGCAGTTTTATGCCGTCCTCGCCCATGAACTCGCAGCATCTTGCATTCTCTTGGTCAATCCTCTGACGGTATTTGCGAATCCGTGAGTGACAGTCTTGAAGTAGCACTCGGATCATTCGTCGGCCGTGCTGAAGTACTGCGCGTCTCGCCAGCTGTGCATTGACCGGAGGTTTGTATGAAACGCACTTCGGCAGCACATTGTTGTCAAGACACCTGTGCAGAAATCGAATCTGCGCATATGTTGACGACTCTTGAAGGGCAAAGGTTTCCCACCGTCGAGCCGATCGGAGAGCATCGCGCCCAAAAAGATTGCTGATAGAAGCGAACAGGCGAGTTCCAAGTAGCAGTTCAGAAGATGAAGATGCGATCACCGGAACAAGAAATTTATTTGCCTGACGTTTCGGATCCTTACTAGAATCCATCATCAGAGACATGAGCAGATAAAGGTAATTGTGGAACCAGGAGTGCAGTATTTATAGCACGTGGCTGCCGTGGGACCGCATGCGCACTGCAATTAACAGTTCACGTAATCACCGCTGGGGCCGGGACACGCCCAAATCATTCAGCTCCTGAAGTTCTGTTTCAAGACGTACTTTACGTTCGACGGAACAATCTACGAGCAGGTGAAGGGAACGCCAATGGGTTCGCCGATTTCGGGACTCATAGCCGAGGCGGTCCTACAACGGCTGGAGTCGCTGGTTTTCCGGCAACACAGACCGAAATTTTGGGCTTGGTATGTGGATGACACCTTCATCGTCATCGAACGGGATCAGGTGCTGACGTTCAAAGAACAACTCAACGCCGTCTTCCCGGACATCCAATTTACGATGGAGAAGGAGGAAAACAATCAGCTGGCCTTCCTGGATGTCCTCGTCTGCCGCAAAGATTGTGGTGGCCTAAAAACCAAAGTGTTCAGGAAAGCGACAAATACGACGCAAATACTGAACTTCAATAGGAACCACCCGATCAGTCACAAACGCAGTTGCGTAAGGGCGCTTTACCGGCGCGTTGAGACGCACTGCAGTGAAATGGAAGACAAGGTTGCTGAACTACAATATCTTCGACGGGTAATGAGAGCCAATGGTTACCCGCACAGCTTTGTCAACCAGTGTATACGAAAAGGACACCAGAGACCAAATCCAAACGGACCCAAATTTTGGCGGGCTCTTCCGTACGTGAAGAACGTCTCGGAAGCCGTCAGTCGTCTTCTCACTCCACTTGGAGTTGGGGTTGCACACAGGCCGGAAGCAACCATTAGGCGCCAAGTCATGAGGCCAAAAGACCCCCTGCCACGGCAGGACACGTCTGGAGTCATTTACCGGATCTGGTGTAGTTGCGGACAAAGCAATTATGTCGGAGAAACTGGGAGATTACCCCGTACGCGAATTGCCGAGCACGCAGCAGCAGTGAGGCGGGGAGACGCTAACTCTCAAGTGGCGGCACATTCGACGGGACCCGGCCATATTTTCAAATTTCAAGAGGCCGAAATCCTCGCAAGGGGTGACAACCACGTGAGCCGCGAGCTGCTCGAGTCATGGTTCTCAGGCCCGCAATCCATCAACAAGCACAATGACATCCCGGTACCCTATAGCGTACTGCGATTTTCCCTGAGCGGGAGAATCAGTCACGTGGGGAGGGCGCGGGCGAGCAATCATCACGGTGACAGTGAGCCAGTTTGCCGAGCAATCGTCACACCAGCATCCAGCACGGATGACGAAATCGCGGCAATTAACGACTCGGACTCGGACCGACAAGCCACCACCGCATCAATTACGGCCCCAGCGGTTCACTTCAGTTCAGTTCAGTTTATTGAGGGAAATAGGCGTAAGCCTTTGAGTACCCTATTTGCAATGTAAAAAATGTGTGGTGTACAGATAGATGTTCTGGGCTGAAATTGTTCAAACACGCCCATAATGGTGGGACAAAATGAGAAGGAGTTACAGGGGGTGAGCTCGACTTCTCATCGCTCTTGGTCATTTCGGAACATAAATATGTCCAGATTCTTCTTAAAACTTTGTATAGATGGTGACATCACAACATCTGCGGGAAGCTCATTCCACGGTTTGACCACCCGAACCGAGAAGGAGAACTTCCGCACATCCAGCCGTGCCTGCTGAGTGCGCAGTTTTAACGGGTGACCTCGGATGTTGGTCGTGGTAGCAAATTCAAAAAGTCCTCGAGGGCCAGACTGCCATCCAACCCCTTTACAATGCGGAAGGCTTGCAAGAGATCTCCGCGAAGTTGCCTGTAACTCAAAGGAAAGAGGTTCAGATTTACTAGGCGGGTCGCATCTTCGTGGCTCTCCTCTGGACTCTTTCGAGGCAGTTTTGATCCACAACACTCCACGGCCTCCAAGCTCGTATGCCGTACTCTAAATGCGGCCGGACGAATGTTCCGAATGTCTTAGAGAAGGCTTCTTTGTCAAAGTCCATAAACGCACGCTTGACGGCGTACAGTACGGACATTGCGGTTTTTGCCACCCTCGAACAGTGGGCGGATGGTTTTAGGGAACTCGTCGTAAGCACACCGAGGTCCTTTTGGGCTTCGACCTCTTGTAGGGCTGCACCGCCCAGAAAGTGGCCTCTTGTGCTGGCGGATCTAGCTGTGTTGCCTAGGAGAAGTATGCTGCATTCGGCAACGTTGAACCGCGGGAGCCAACGGTTTGACCACTCCTCCAACCGATTCAGGTTCATCTGCAGTCTGTCTTCATCGGCAGGACCACGAATTACACTCCATATCTTCATGTCGTCCGCAAACATTGCTACTTCACAGTCCAAATCTCTTGCGGCATCGTCCACGTAGATAAGGAACAAAATGGGTCCCAGTACTGAACCCTGGGGGACACCACTTTCGACCATAGCCGGATCTGATTTTCCCCGACCGACGCACACAACCTGGTGTCGACCCACAAGGAAGTTTTCGATCCATTTATGGAAGTTGCCACCGATCCCTATTTTTTTCAGCTTATGTAAGAGCCTTTGGTTTGGCACAGTGTCGAAAGCCTTCTGGAAGTCGATGAAGGCTATGTGTATCGCGTGCCTGTCGTCGAGAGCTTGGGTCCAGCTCTGGAGAGATTGCAGCAGGTTTGTCGTGCAGGATCTTCCTTTTCGGAACCCATGTTGGCATTTCGATAGCAGGCCGTGAACTTCCAGGAATTGCATTAGTTCACACTTTATGGTCCTTTCCATAACTTTGCAGAGAATGCATGTCAAGCTTATGGGCCGGTAATTTGTCGTCGCTGCCCTGTTACCTCCTTTGTGTAGCGGAGTAATATGCGCCAGCTTCCAATCGACAGGAAGTGTTCCAGTGTCAAATGACGTTTGAAAGAGCATCGACAAAGGCACAGAGAGCTCACGGGCAAGTTCCTTCAGAAGCTTGGATGGAATCTCGTCTGGTCCTGGCGACTTCGATTCGTTCAATGCCTCTAATTCTCTTCGGACAATGCCTTCTGAGAAGAGTATATCACTGACGCGTGGAGTCGGCAATTCTTCTGTGGAGGGAGGAAGGAACCTTGCCTCGTTTGTGTAGACTGATTGGAAAAACCGTGAAAAATACGCAGCTTTATCCCTACTATCAGCAATCTCAACGCCATCAGTAGTCTTTATCAAAGGGATTTGATGCCTGTTCCTCGTACTTCGTCGGAGGTAGCTGTAGAGCAATTTTGGGTTCTGCGTTGCTTTTTGTAGCAAGTTCTTCTCGAATTCCCGCCGCGTGTGAATTATCAGCTTCCTCAGTTTGTTCCTCTGTGTCTTGTAGGTTTTGAAGCATTCAGCTTGTCTAGTGACGCAGTATTTGCTCCACAATTTGTGCTTCCTGTTGATTTTTTTTGAGGTTGCTATTTAGCCACCCAGGGCGTTTGTTCAGTCTTACACTAGTCAGTGGGCAGTGGTTGTTGATGAGCTGCAGAAGGACATTCTTGAACAGCTCCCAGTCATCGTTGGCACTTCCCGTAAACAAAGAGCCCCAGTCAAGACCGGATAAGTCTGCCCTCATCTGATTGAAATCGCCCCGCCAAACATTACGCCTTTTGTGGTCTGGAGTGTGTGAAATGGAGAATAACGAATAATCCCACATAAGCACTACGTGGTCACTTCGGCCAAGGGGCGGCATGGAGGCGATCTCGTCTACGCTGTCTGGTGTTTTCGTAAAGACCATATCCAGGCAGTTTGCCCATTGTCCTTCACGTGTTCTCGTTGGGAACATTACATGTTGTGTGAGGCACGCATTTAATGTCTTGCTCAACAGGCGGTAATCGAATGCCGATTTTGGACCTGACGCTTGGAGGGTATTCCAGTTTGTTCCTGGTGCGTTGAAGTCGCCCATGTTCATGATGTTAGGTCGACTGGAAAATTTCTCCAACTGCTCCAATAGTTGAGCGTCGGCGATTCCGTCGGTCCTAGGTGGTCGGTAGACAGTAAGGACATCGAGACACGGGGAACCGGTAGCCTTGATGGTCAACCAGATAGCTTCCGTACTGCACACAAACTTGGTGGTGTTATCCGACACTGCCAGACCGTCATTCACATACACAACGATACCACCACCCTGACGATGTTCCCTGTCCCTCCGATAAATTTGGTATCCAGGCAAGGCTACTTCGTTATCGCTAATATTCCCGGACAACCAGGTCTCAGTTACTGCTAAAACATCTGGAGACTGCTCAACAAGGCAAAGTTTTAGTTCGTCTAGTTTCGATAGGAGGCTTTGGGCATTCGTGTACAAGCACCTCAGTTTAGCACCAGCCGAATTTCCCGTTGCATTTGTTACTGCTGTGAGCATTACTCCGTTATCGCGGACGTCGTGTTCTCTAGGCTCTTCCGTTACCTGATTGGTTCCATTTACATGCCTTGTTTCAGTCAGATCACTGGACGCTACGGGCTCACTTGTGTTGGCGCCTTGATCAGGTGGTTCAACGAAGGTGTCTGTTTCAGCTGAGTAGCTGTCGTCGTTCGTAGTATTACAGGCTGGTTCCACTGAAACGGCATAGATTTCCGAACTACCTTCCCCTTGAAGATAGCCAGATTGTGTTCGCCATCCTTCATTCTTGACTTTAACTCCAAGACAAGTTCCCGGCGTTTCAACCGTTCCGCTGGTGAATAGTCCGGTTGAAAAAAAACCTGTTTGTGTGTGTTTCTGAGATCGGTTTTTTTAGAGAGGATTACGTGAACTGTTAATTGCAGTGCGCATGCGGTCCCACGGCAGCCACGTGCTATAATTACTGCACTCCTGGTGCCACAATCACCTTTATCTGCTAATGTCTCTGATGATGGTTTCGAGTAAGGATCCGAAACGTCAGGCAAATAAATTTCTTGTTCCGGTGATCGCATCTTCATCTTCTAAGAATAACCTACCGAGGAACAACGGGTTTGCACTTTACACAGTCTATTTAGATGTCAGTAAGGCTTTTGATCGTGTTGGCCATGCTCTTCTTTTCTTGAAACTGTCCTGTTTTGGCATAGGTTTTAAACCTCTGAATTTTATATCTTCTTACCAAGGCGCTCGTACACAACGAATTAAGATTTACAATGCTGTCTCCAACCCCACATGTGTTAGAAGTGGAGTCATTCAGGGTGGTGTACTCGGCCTACCGTCATTTTACCTTTTTGTTAACGGTGAAACACATTTATTTCAGAATGTTAAGCCCTTTATGCATGTCGATGATCTTAAAGTTGCATATAGGTATAAGCCAGTAGAACGTGACATCGTATTCTAGTTCCTACAGAGCGACCTTGATGCCTATGACTAGTTGTGCTGCACATGGCGCTTTTCTTTCTCTTGGTATAAATTCCCAATCATAGTGGTTGGCACCGACCATCAACCTCAAATAAATCTTGGCTGTCATGGCATAAATGCGCCTGAAGTTATTAAGGATCTGGGAGTATCATACTTCAAGTGTTTTAATCTTTCGCAGCACTGCGACCTGATTGTCCTTAAAGCACGTAGAACGATCAGGCTCATCCTCTGAAACTTTACAACCAGCATAAGCCAAAACACTCCTCTTTTTAAGTCGCTCTAGTTCCGAGATATGCGTGGTGGTCTCCTGTAGAGCTCCAAATACCTGGAGAGGAAGTCGGTCAATGCACATCAGTTAAGAATGCTCCAAGCATCTCTTGACCATAACGGATCGCAATTTGGTAACCTTGAATTGACTTTATCGCAGGCTATATCTGCACAGATTTCGAAAGAATCCTGTTGTTTCGACTGCGGTGTAGGAGAGATAACGTTTCCCGCGTTAGACTTTCCCGAGGTGCACATTTTCCCATGTTCTAGCACTAAGCATAACAATGTCTTCAAAATTCATCCGTACACACTGGAAGGCAGGCATCCCAAGAAATATAACTTGGTGATGACAGGTTCTTTGAGAAAAGTAAGAACTTTATTAGCGTATATTTGAAACTGGTTTCCCAGCTGGTCACCAAACTTTTTGGTTCTGTACAAAAACAGTTAACTAGTTAAACCGTATCGAACACGTGATTCCGTGGTTGGCCGACGTCTCCGCCAATGCACGTCAAATATATTTCGTCATCCCCTTGGCATTGGCTGCGCTGGCTCCTTTTTTTCCTTGGGAAATTTCTATGTCGCATCTAAATCTATATGTCGATTAATTCATGTCTCATCTGAAAGCCTTGCCTTCTGGAATTCGCGTTCCTTCGTTATTGGGCGGGCGCAGTCTCTGCGAGAGCGCTCCCATTTAAATTTTTGTCCAGCGTTTGCACGCCACCTGTGATAAATTATCTCATCTTTCACCGCTAACTGACGTTCACGTGTGCGGTTTAATGCAGATTTTCCAGTTTGGCAACAATAGGCGGCATCACAACTGGTACATGAAATCTTATTGACAGCACCTTTTCTATCGAGATAGCCAACTTTGTCCTTAGGATGTGCGGACTGTTTACGCAGGGTGGTTGCAGGTGCGTGCTACTTGCATCTGATGCCTTTTCAGCTGTCTTTTGACGAGTTCAGACACATTTTTCGCTTATTGGCTTGTCCGCCAAGTGAACGTGTTTGGTGCCTGTGTGGCCGTTGTTTTTGAAATATCTTTCTGTTTAAACTCATGTTTCAAGTAATGACGTACAAAGTCTCGCGGGTACCTGATGTGGGAAAATAAATCAAAGAGGTAGTTCATCTCTGTTTGGTAACTTTCTCCATCAGAGCAGTGTGTTTTGGCTCGATTTAGCAGGCCGTAGACAGTATTCTTCTTATAAGAGATGAGATGGTGGTTACTCTCAAAGTGTAGGATGACCTCAGAATATGCTTCTCTGTAATAAACTGAAGTTTGGGGGGTTCCATCGGTTTTTCGGCATACAAGGACATCCGGAAATGTGAGTTGTCCATCATCCTCTGCTTCGCAAGTGAATTTAATTCCTGGAAATTTGGAGGTAAGATTTGTGTGGAGCAGGTCTTGTAAATTTTTCTTGACAGTGACAAATGTGTTGAAAACAAGCATGTACAACAGAATTTATTGGGGCCAACAAATTTCGTGACGGCTTTCCAACTGCAACCCGTCTCTGCATAGCATAGGTAACGAATGAAAGCTCACAGCAGTATGAATTTGTACAGAATGGCAGTGCATAGGAGCAAATGTATCATCAACATAGCACAGCAATAGTTTTGGGTTAATCATGCGCAGGACTATAGACTCCATTTTCTGCCATATGGCTTCTGCCAGAAAGCCCGATATAGGCGAACCCATAGGGGCAACTTTCAGTTGTCGATAACATTGTCTGGCAAAAGAAAAGTTAGCTTCGAGACAAACTCATGTAGTTGGAGTAGAGCGTCGGCATGCACATCGGTGGTGTAGGCCTGAAGGAGTTCTTCGGGGCAGCGTCTCGCTAAATAAAATGTAATTGAGGTGAAGAACGAGACTTCATCGAATGACACCATTATCTCGTTGGTTGCCACGCTCACTCCTTCTTATTTTCCTAGGAACTCATTAGAATAGAATAGAAAAGGCTAAATATACCATCCCTTGGGTGCTATCAGTCTCCTGTGAACTCAGGCAAAAAAACTGAAACAAATTCGTGCATTTCGACAGCACTTTGACTTCATTTGTTCTGGTTGTCTCTCTAGACAATACAGCGCGAATCGAAAGATTGTTTTAAGTTGAAAAACCGGAAAATACTCGCAAAAGTTTTAAAAAATAAATCTATCTTCAATATAAAATTGAGGTGTGCAGTTGGGTAGTTTTTGGGGGCATGAATAATGTGCCCTTAATGGATATTGAAAAACTTTGACCTCGGTCTGACATGAAAATTATTTTCGAGTTAAATAAATTTGGATGCCTTCTAGTTGCCGGTTGTCAGTCAATGGTAAATCACAATCACAGCTGTCAATATAATATTGACTCATGTATCAGATGCTAGAAGTAGTGGTCGACTGTTCTGTGGAATCTAATATAGTTGTAATATGGTTAATATTGCCTTAATATGGACATACGCACAATTAATATGCTGGGTTCTATCGAAAGGGATGTCATTATTAGCTCCTTAAGGAATATTTAGTGTCAAGTGATATAACTGATGAAAACGAGAAAGGGAGGGAGGCAAGAATATGACTATCTGATCTACGTTTGTCCATGATGCTGGCTCTCATAAATTTGATTGTTTTGAATATTATGCTCCGGTATTATTCAAGCGGCCGACATCATCAGTGCCCTTTTGGACAAAATTCTATATCAAAGAATTGGCTTGAGAAATAATTCATCTTATTTAAAAGAAATGTGTATTAATATTTGAAAATACCTTTTTAGTTTGTATATTCAAATTGATTAGGTTTAGACTTCCCCGGATAGAACTTGGAAGAGCATTCCAGTTAGCGTCACATGATATGAAGTATAAATTTAACCGTTGAAACTTTAGGAATTTGGGGATCCTTAAAATATCTTCGTTATTTCTGATGTTTCTGGAGTCGTTTTGTTTTCTTAATATATTAATTTTGAAAATATCTTGGTCATGGGTGACCTTATATAGGAAGTTTAAACCATTTTGGAGTCTTCTGATCCAGAGGAATCGAAAACCGTATTTACGATATAGTTCCAAGTATGAGCCCTGGGTGCCATCACCTCCGGACAAAGATCTAGTAAATCGTCTCTCACTGCCTTCTAATTTCTTTCGGCCGTCTGAGGGCATTATGCCGAAGAAATTAAGCAATAATCTAGGAGAAGTAAATGGTATATTTTGAAAAGTTGAATTCTTAGTGCATTTATGTGAAATTTTTACAAATGAATCCAAACAGGCGAGTGGATTTCGGGGATATTTGTTGGACGTGGGAGAGATAAGTTGAGGGTATTTGTATAGCTGAGACATAAATCTTTTACCGATTGAGCCTGCGTTATTTTATTATCCTCGAATATAATGGGGGGAAGTTTTTGTGTGCCAAAGATCAACAGATGGCATTTTTCAGGTGAAAAGGGTATCTGCCATTGTTTACTCCATTCGCTGAGTTTTCTGAGATCCGTTTAAATTGTTCTGTGAATATTGGCTATTGTGTTCCCGTTACATGCATACGCAAGTTTAAGGTCGTCCGCATATAAAAACGTCTTAGCTGATACTGATATGGATTATAAGTCATGAATATATATGAGAAATAGAAGGGGGGCTAGGATAGTGTCTTGAAGTACTCCACTGGTGATAGGGGATGGTTCCGAGACTCTTTTTGAATCTGCACCACTTAATATCGGTTTTGAAGATAGGATTTCAGAAAAGCGAGAAGTAGTGAATTAAGTCCGTGACTTTTTTGCTTTATCAGTAGTCTTTTATGGGGAACTTTGTCAAAGGCCC